GCCTCATTCAGGGAGGGAGCTTTGTCCCCGAGCCTTGTTGCTTATGCATCAGGAGTTTTAGGAAAGAGTTCTGACTGTTGTAGGGTGAACCAAGGTCCAAAGTTAGGGTTGTACGTGTCATTTATTGGGATACCTAAAACTGGGGAGTGCCATATTTATGTTGTACAAAAGTGAAAAGTAAGGTTGAGAGAGAGAGTTGAAGTAGTTTCCATGAGGTCACACAGCTAGTCAGTGAGGGGCACATCCCTCAAGAAAGCAGATTTAGAGAAATATCTTATGTAGTGCTCTTTTGATCACCGCAGGGCCTCAGTTGACTGCAGATTCATCTTGACCTCACTTCCTTGCCGCCCGGGAGCTGGTTCCAGAGGCAGGAAGCCAGTAACTGTGGAGATTTTCCTTTAAGTGGAGGGGCGGTGTTAAATTGTTCGTGTAAACCTTTGTTGCCTGAACTCACACGAAGTGAGTGTGGGGTAGGACGCAGCCTGCTCTAGGCGTGTCCCGTGCTTGGGGGGAGCAGGCAGGTGCGGTCTTTTTAGCCCATTTCATGCCGTCCTGGATTTGGGGGAGGACTGGTCACGTGGTGGACTTCACGCATTCTTCCCTGTGCCCATGGTTTAAGCTTCACTTCTGTACGCTGATGAAGATAGTCTAAACGTCCACACTCCAGGCCCCCTTTGACAGTAACAGAAGTGGATTTGCTTTTGTGTTTGGCTCTGGGCAGAACTGGAATAGTCTCCCCTTGGAGAGGGGTCAAATTGAGTATATGTACACGGAGCTTTGCTACATTAGGACGTGTGCCGTGTGTTCAGAATCAGTAGGCGGTTTTTCAGGTATTGGGCCTGCTCTGCTATACTTGCTAGTTGCCGTGCTGGAACGTCTGTCTTCTCTTTTTGACAGATTGAAACCATGTGATTACAGTTGAAAGTCAGGCAGGTAATGAACAGGATTAAAAAAAAACAAAACTGCTTTATTTTGGATTAATTTTATAGTTGACAAAAAGTTGCAAAAATACTACAGAGAGTTCCCCTCTAGCTTTAGCCTGCTTTCCTTAATGTTAACATCCAACATAACCGGAGTGCAGTTATCAAGAATGGGAGATTAACACTGGTACAGCGCTGTTGACTGATTTACAGACCTTGTTCAAATAATTGCCCCAGTTTCCCCGCTAACCTCCTTCTCCTGGCACACTCGGCAACAGGACAACACCCTCCTCTTTAGAAGGTGCTCCCCCCACCACGGCGCTTCAGCAGACCTGGAGCCGGCTTGGACAGGGGCCCAGATTAGGCCGGGGCCCACCTCGCGAGGAGGGGAGTCTGGGGGCGGGGGTTGGGTGGGCCGGCCTGCCTGCCTTGCGCTGGGCGTGGCTTCATGAAGGGAGGCCGGCCCAGGTGGGCCCAGGGGTTGCATCTCTTGAGGTGATGATTAAAGACCCTGATTTAAGTTACGTTCAGATTTAGGTTTATTTATCTGTTGCTTTAAGCCATTTCGGATTTTCAACCCAGCTACTAGAAGCACTTTTTACCAAGTTGAATTTCTGTCTTTGGATAGCTAAACTCTTTTCCCCCAGCCAAATTAATAAAATGGACTTTCTTATTAAGAATGAATTATTCAGTACAGTGGAAGCGCTGGGCAGTTGATGGTTTGTTTTCAAAGCCTCAGAAGTGCAGCCACGACCAGAGGTCACCAGGACAGGCCTCAGGGCCAGAGCCCGGGGCATTGACTTTCTCGTAGAGGATTCCAGGTGCACAGGCCGCCAGCAGTGCTGACTGGGCAGTGGAGTCCCATTTGTAACATGTTAGGTTAGGAAACAGACTGATTTACGCGTTGATGTAATGGATCAAGGCACAGTGTGTGCTTAAGAAAACGGAGAGCGCGTTAAATCAGAGCACTTTCACAGTAACAAAGTACAAACGTTACAGAAAAGACAGTCCTCTTATGGTCTGGGTAAGGTTGGGGTATGTCTACTTGCTTCCTAGACGTGGTCCACAGAGGCTTTTTATGTTTCAGATGACACCTTCTTGAGAGTCTCTTAGGACCACAAGGATGAATGTTTCTGAGCTCGGCAGTGAATCGCTGCAGCATCTTAGCGGTCTGGAACGACTCCAGTCCCTCCTTTTTCTCGGTGTAACTGATGTGAGGAGCCACCGCTGCCTCGCTGCCTCTTCTGTTGCTTTAACCCCCAGTATTTAGCTTCTCTTTAGGGAAGGCACTGCAGACCGACTCAGCACAGAGATCAAGTGCACTTACTCTGATGCACTGACCTCAGTGGTTGACCCATAAACTGAGCGTTTATACAGTTGGAACTCTTGCGGTCTCTTAGCCAGCAACCATAATGAGGAACGTGTGGAACGTAATCTTTGGTGCTGATAAATGGCTGCCGGCCCAGCTTTGACCACTCCACGGCTGTGGCTTGGGTGAGCTCACATAGCTGGTTGACACTGTTTCTTGCTTGTATTCATTTTTGGAATTTAGGAGGTAATGGTCCCCCCCTACACACACTTCTGAAAGATTAGATACCACACCCCAAATCCTCTTTGTTTAATAGGAGCCTTCAATGTTAAAATACACAAGGCCGTAGAGAGATTTTAGGAAATGCCGCTCGGCGTGTTTCAGCTTTGCTGTGGCAGCTCATTTATAGCCAATTTGGGAAACACGTTCCTGCTCATTGATTGGCTTTCTTGCTTACATTTCGTCATGTCTTCCTGGCTCTCCTTCATTTATTTCTGTCTGCGCACGTGAAGTAGGAAGGAACGGACCTGGGGAGAGCACTGGTTTCTGTCCACAGAAGCGTCTCTGCGGTTGTCTTTGTCTCTGTGTGTACCCCTTTCTCCACACACCCGTCTTCCTCCATGTCAGCATCCCGGTTTACAGCCATAATCCTTAGGGATGGCTCCCAAAAGAGAGGTGGCCATAGAAGAGGCGTTTGGGGACATCTGGAACTCAGTGTGAGAATTAAGCTCACTTTTCTTGTGCATCCTAAAACTTTTTAATGATTTATTTGAATTAAACATCGTTAGAGTGTTACCTACAAATAAGTTGTCTTCCTTTCCGCAGATATCTGTAAATGTTTTTTTTCTTTCTTTGGAGGGACAGGACTTCACTAGTCTTTGGCTTTGCCTGCAGTTACACTTAGGGCATAGGATCTGCCTTCGACTCTAGGAAATGATTATTCATCACAGTAGGGCTACAGTCAATTCTAGTTAATAAAGTTGCTAATTGTTCTCCTCATTGGATTTATTTGAGGTTTTTTTCAACCCCGATTGATCTTGGCAACATTTTAGTTCCAAGTCAGCTTTCTCCCAGCTATCCCACTAGTGTCACTGCTTCTTTCTCTTGTACTGCTAGAAAACAGGCTAATGTCAATGAGCTCCAAAGCAAAGTGTGGTAGGACGGTAAATTTGTCCTGGAAAACGATCGTAATGTGTTTCAAAATCAAAGTAGCCTCCTGATTGGAAGACCATTCGTGTCTGTGTAGTCCGTCAGCACAGATAAATGAGAGTTGCCTAGAAAGCACACGTTTCCGTGTATTTTAAAAAATCAAATGTACGTTTTCTTTTTAATAGGAAAGCCGTTTTATGTTAATGCTTTTTAAAAAGAACAACATAGTGGACCATACAATCTAAACCTGCCTCCCACATTTTAACATTTAAAAAGCCGTTTAATTTTTATCTTGGAAGAACTTTTACATTAAGAGAAACCACAAAACTCTGTTGTGGATGTAACCATCAGTATTGGTCTATATCTAGATGCCAGGATGCCTCTATTTTTCTAGTGCATGAGACTTTGCAAGAGCCTTACTGTCGTAATGCCTAAGTGTTATTTTTCACCTATAATTTGTGAGCTGTTAATGGCTGTGATGTTTTCACAACTATGAAATAGTTGATTATTTTTACTTAACGCAAGATAAAATTGTTCATGAAATCCCTTTTGGTGTTCAGTTTCCGTGAGTGTCACCATCCTTCACTGAGTAACGCACGCCAGACTTGGCGTGGTTCCCCCCCCCGCAGCTGGTTTGTTACTCACTCTTACCCGTTTGGCTGCCTGTTACCTCTTGCCTCTGTTCACCAGCACACTGCCGTGGCCCTGGCTCCCATTAGGGCACCCTTGAACTCTGTGCCCCTGGCTTCCTGAGTCGTTGCCCTGCATGCTCTCTGTCTGTTTTCAGTCCCTTTTCACCCTGCCACAGAGAAAACGTCAGAGCTGCATTTGGAAAATATTAACTTGACGCTTAAAACCGCTCAGCACTTCCAGCGATAAAGACTGAAGTCTTTCCTTGGTCTGCACACTGTCTAGTCTTGTCCCCGCTTGCCTCTCCTCCCTGCTCTTACCTCTCTCCACTCAGTCTGCATTCTCTCCACATGTGCTGGTCAAAGCTCTGCTCAACTGCCACTGTCTTCAGGCAGCTTCCCTGGTCACCTCCCTACACAAGCCTAAGTCAGAGTCCCCTTTTATGTGCTTCTTCAGCACTGTGTGCATTTCCTTCCTAGGACAGCTGGCAGTGTGATCACACTTTTTTCATGTGTTCACTCCTTCACTAGACCAGAAGCCCCAAGAGAGCGGTGGCCATAACTTTTTGCTCACCCTTGTGTGTCAGCATTGAGCATGTTGCTTTACAAAGTAGCTGCTCAATAGAATTTTTTTACGTGAGTGATTTGAATAAAATTACTGGAACATTAGCGATTCTATACTTTTGTCATTTGATATATCAAGGAGTGGAAAGTAGATTTGCTTGTGTTAGAGCAGACTGCAGTTGGATCAGAAGTGTCCAGATGGGGGAGTGGGGGTTAGATTTCTCATCTGCCTTTCACTTTGATCATGTATATCCAAAGGTCATTTTTTCTTCTGGCCTAGCTCTTGGGAAAAGGATTTGTTTTTGAAGATAAAATAGTAAAATAATGACGATTTTAAAAAGAACAGTTCTCCTATCACAAACCAATGAATGACTATGCCTTTCTGCCAACCCTTTTGGAGTAAACCTGGAATTTTTTCCCCTTTGGTAGGCTCTTGCAGCCAATGCTGGAACAGGATTTGCTGTCGCTGAGCCTCAAATTGCAATGTTTTGTGGGAAGTTAAATATGCATGTGAACATTCAGACTGGGAAATGGGAACCGGACCCAACAGGCACTAAGAGCTGCTTTGGAACAAAAGAAGAAGTTCTTCAGTACTGTCAGGAGGTAAGAGTGTTGCCAGAAAGTTAAACTGCTTTGTTTCTAGGTCGAGTTTGAACGTATTTACCTTAGAAGTAGATATTCTATCATTCTTCTCTTTTGACCTAAGACCAAGTTGCTCATGGCGGGAGCAGCAGGCCCTTCATCCCTAAGTGTGTGAAAGAATCAAGATTCTAAAAGACTTCAGCTCTGTGTGCCGCAAGCTCCTGGTTCTGGTGTTTTCCACTTGCTGATAGAAGGCCACTAGTATTGTAAATGACCATCTCAGGTCTGATGCAGCTCATTTTTTGGGTCAAAACTTGACCTAGAAAAGGATATGAGATGTTTTAACTTCTTACCAAGACTAGCTCTTGGGCCGGGATTCACGGATTATTCTATAATTTGATTAACAGACCTCTTCAAGGTTTTAGTTCATGGATTCAGCTGCTTACACGCACCCTACTAGTGGACTTAATACCTAATAGATTTGTTTTGGGCTGAAAGCTTGCTGCTTTTCTATGTCCTTAAATAAAGATTCCTTTATTAAGAGAATGCATTAGATGTGGTCAGAAATCTACCTGTCAAAGGAAAACTAATAGTTACAGTATCTTTTTACTTGATGCATTTAGTTGGAACCAGGGGCAGCAAAGTGGAATTTTCGGTTTCTTTAGGGTAATGGTGAAGCTGAGCACAATAGACACTCGTCCTGACTTGCCAGCGAGCGTCCGTTTATTATGGACAGGGTCAGTTTACTGTGTGCGTTTTCTCTTCCCGTGCAGATGTACCCCGAGCTCCAGATCACAAATGTGATGGAGGCAAACCAGCCAGTCAGTGTGGACAATTGGTGCCGGAGGGACAGAAAGCAGTGCAGGAGTCACATTGTGATCCCGTTCAAGTGTCTTGGTGAGTGTCCTGTGGATGTTCTTGGCTGCTTCTCAGGAGGTGGAGTCCCTCGTGTTTTGGGTTAGTTTTCCCTTGGCTCGCAGTGAAGCGTCCCCGTCTCTTAAGCAGCTGAGGGCTGCAGGTGTTCCTTGGGGCCCTTCTCTCTTGAATGTTTGCTGCTTTCTTGGTGGTGGTAGGCTCGTCTTCGATGGTCACTGCCTCCACCCGGCCTTCTGTCTATTGAGGATGTGCCTTTCCCTGGCTCTGAGGAAGCGGCTGCCTTCAGAGCAGTCCAGCTTACCTCACGGTCAGAGTTTGCAATCACTGTTTTACAGGCATCGTCGTGAGTGGTGCTGAAGCTGCGGTCTCCTGCCCCCTTCCTTGACCCTGCACACGTTAGCAATGTACTGACATCCTGTATTGTTAGACCGGACTTGTGGGCGTTTTCAGGAGAAGAGTGACTCAGGGCTGTCTGTGGACAATCAGGGACACTAGGCCCAGGCCCTGTGCTACCTGCCATTCTGAAGATTGAGGGCAGGCCAGGGTGTTCATGACACTGTGTGGCTGGTGGTAACCGTCAGAGCTGACTTGAGTGAAACTATAACTGGGTGGTCACATAACATGTTACTGTTTTATTACCCAGAAACAGAGTTGTTGCTTCCAATGCTTATTTAGTTATGTATTCATCCTAACCACTCATTGCTGACACATCCAGATTACGGTCACATATCTGTAGTCTGGGTGGTTCAGGAACAGATTTAGTCACAGAAGCTTAAAAGAGCAAAGCAGTTGATTTTAGATGATCCGTGATAGGATTAACAAAGGTAGAGTATTAACATAGGTATCTTGGGTAGTTCTGTAGATGTATGTAATTTTAGCCATTAACTTACTCCTCTCCCTCCCTTCATTAAATCTTTCCTAAAATTGCTTTTCTCATTCTCACATGTAGCAAAATAACAGGAAGAGTCAGCACCTGAAGAACAGTATATTTAAAATATGTAGCAGTTACTTTGTTTTAAAAGTATTCAGTAGGGGGAAGAAGGGATATTGCATCTGCTTAACACCATTTACTCGAGAATTGGGCATCATGCAGTAATGTGAGACTTGTGAAACATAATTATTTATTTATTTTTTTGCTGAGGAAGATTTGCCCTGAGCTAACTTCTGCTCCAATCTTCCTGTTTTTGTATGTGAGCCACTGCCACAGCATGGCCACTGACAGACGAGTGGTGTAGGTCTGTGTCCAGGAACTGAATCTGGGCCACCAAAGTGGAGCACGCCACACTTAACCATTAGGCCACCAGGGCTGGCCCTGAAAAATTTTGTGTGGTGTGGTTTAAGGATGTTCTTCCATTCCATTTAACTCTAAGAAATCTCTGGGTTTGACATTTCATTCATTGTCTGTAACATTCTCAAACTAAAAGAAACGAGAATATTCTTGAATATTCATAGATGATAGATCTTATTTGCAATCATTTCTCCTCTTTGAATTGTTCCCCCAAAGACTGTGCAGCCTGGTCCCCTCCTGTGTCACTTACTGGGTCCACCGTCCACCCAGACTCCAGGCGTGAGATCTGGGAGACCCTCATCTTGTCACATCTGGTCAGTTTGCAAGCCAGCCTGATCTTCACCCCTTAAAGATGGCGTGTCCATGGTTCCCAGGTCATGCGTGGAGGCATCCCAGGGCACTGCGCAGATGCAGGGCATCGTGGGATGTTTCTGATTTTCAAGGGAGACATCTGTTAGCTGTCCCGTGAACTACTAGCTGGAGATAGTCAGTTTCAACATCAGATCAGTTCATTCCCTTTGATGACCTCGTATCTTTGTGGAGCTGTATTTTAGTGGTTCCTGTGTTATAAAAGCTGGCATCACATTAGAATTGCATTAGAAGAGACGAGGATGATGGTGTTCAGTGATTGCAGTGTTGGAGGAGTTGTGCAGTGACCAGCAGGCACTGAGGTGTTAGGACACTAGTACTTATTAAGTTGTTGGCCCTAACTTCTGAACTTCTGCATGTTCTTTTGGCCTGGAGGTGCTATGAAAAAATTACTGTGACACTCAGGGTGCTGTGTCTTGAGAAAGTTTGGGAACATCGGGCTTATATCCTCCTCCTCCATCTGGTTTCACTGCTCTGCTTCAGCTCTTCATCATTTCCTGCTTGGACTGTGACAGCAGCATCTGTGCGAGTTGCTCCGTTCTGTTGTCTGGTCTATTGCCCTCAGCAATCTAGGATGAAGATGGAAATGTCTGTCCTGCGCATAAAACACTTTATGTAGTAGCTCTTCTCCACCGAAGTTTTAGTCTTCACTAAAAATGTTGAGTTAAGCTCCTTAGCACGGCTTGGAATCTCCATGTGGTGGCCCTTGCTCAGCCCTTCCCTGTTCTCTTCCACCCCCTGCCCTGTGCTTCGCCTTCGTCAGCACTGACGTGTCACGGCTCCTGCCCACATGCCACCCGCCTCGCTGGGTTGGGAATGACATAACTGACTTTGCTTGGGAAGTTCTCCCTTTGAGACTTAACTCAGGGGATGCCTTCTTTAAAGGAAGCTTTTCCTCCTGGTCTTATTTTCTATCAAGACATCCAGATTTCTGTAATACTCCTCGTTGTTGCCATTGCACCTCTCACACTGAACGCTGATGATCTGTCTGTGTATCTTTCTCCAGCTGCACCATAAACACCTGGAAAACAGGGACCCTGTTTTAGTCTTCTTTGTCCTCTCAGTACCATGACAGTGCCTAGAACATGCGATACATTCTTCTTGATAATTACGGGACAAGACTGCTACCATAGCTGATACACAACAAAAATTTTATTTTACTGCTTTATTTTCCAAGTGCCGTAGGTAGAATTTTTCAGTGTGTTACAGAACCAAACAATGAAATGATGTTGTCATTAATTGAATGCATAAAAGACAATTTGACCATAAACTGTTCAATACCTTCTTTGCATCATGGTCGCTGAAAAAAGCGTTATACAGTCCTCAGTGTTACTGAATTCCACCAGCATCCATTTGGACAACTTCTGAGCCAGGAAGTAGAGCTACCGTTGGTATTTTTAGATGAATTACAGTTGCCTGAGCCTAAGCTAGTGAGGGACCAGGTGACTGGAGTTTGAGGGAGGTAGTAGGGAAGAAAGACTGCCGGTTCTTCCTGGTCATCCATTGTTCAAGAAGCAGGAGGCTTTCATGTCTCCGTGTCTCCCCCGGCATGTAGAGCACCAGGTGCACCACCTTCCTTACACGGCCCTGGGGGATAGTCTTTAGGGTTGCCTTTGCCTTCTCAATTTAAAAGTTGTAACAGTTTAAAAATAATTTCAGGTTCATAGAATGGTTGCAAAATAGTGCAAAGAGCTCCTGTATACCCTTTCCTCAGATTTTCAGATTTTCCAACTGTTAAATTTGATTAATATGGTAAAATTAATTGTATTATTTACCCTCCCAACCACTGGGTTTTGTTTATTGAATTGTGTAAGTTGCAGACATGATTCCTTTTATTCCCCTCTCACTTCAGTGTATATTTTCTTAGAAAAAAAAAAAAAAGGACATTCTCCTATGTACAGTCATCAAAATCAGGAAATACGGACCCTATTCAAGCTTCACCTGTTGTTTAAATAACACCAGGATCTAATTCAAGATCACATACTGCATTTAGTTCTCTCTATAGTCTTTTTCATGACCTTGGTATTTTCAAAGAGTATAGGCCAGTTACTTTGTAGAATGCCTTGTAATTTGGGTTTGTCTTCTGATCCTTTTGGTTTATGCCTTTTTGAGGGAACTATCACAGAAATGTTCTCTCTGTATCATGTTGGGAGTTGTATGACATCAGTTTCTTCCATTGATAACTTTTATCACCTGGCTAAGATGGTGTCTGCATTCATTCATTTATTTCATTATGGACTCATTGTCCCAAGCTGGCCAACAGGAACCCCTTCGTGTTGGTTCCTGTGTCCTTTAACCATGTCCCTATCATTCTTTGAAAATATCCTTAATTTCTGGCACAAAAAGATGCTCAGGCTCATCCTGTATTTTCCCTCCCCAACCTTTGGAGTCAGCCATTTCTCCAAGAAACTCTGGTTTCCTTTAGTGGGGAATAGTATTTAGAAACCAAGATCTGGGCATTTGGTGTGCTTGCTGCTAGTAGGATGTTACTGCTTCTAGGCCCACTCAGCAGACAGAGCTTAAGAAATATATGTATGTATACATATATGTGCACACATAAATCGATATTTCTGTGTACATTTGTGTATATTAAAAACAGTGAGCTCATAGTGATACCTCCTATTCCATTATCCTCAGTATGTTTACTTATTTGCTCAATATCCCCTGTAAATAATGTCTCTCTGCTTTTTTTTTTAATTTATTTTTTTGGTGAGAAAGATTGACCCTGAGCTAACTAATGTCTGTTGCCAATCTTCCTCTTTTTGCTTGAGGAAGATTGGCCCTGAGCTAACATCTGTTCCAGTTGTCTTCCATTTTGTAAGTGGGATGCCTGCCACAGCATGGCTTAATGAGCAGTGTGTAGATTCGTGCCCAGGATCTGAACCTCTGAGGCCCAGGCTGCCAAAGCGGAGCACGTGAACTTAACCACTAAGTCACTGGGCCCGGCCCCTCTCTGTGCTTCTTATAAACAGATTTTTTTTTTTTCCTTTTTCTCCCCAAAGCCCCCCGGTACGTAGTTGTGTGGGGTTTTTTTGTTTTTTGAGGAAGATTAGCCCTGAGCTAACATCTGCTGCCAATCCTCCTCTTTTTGCTGAGGAAGCCTGGCCCTGAGCTAACATCGTGCCCATCTTCCTCTACTTTATATGTGGGATGCCTACCACGGCATGGCGTGCCAAGCGGTGCCATGTCCACACCCGGGATCTGAACTGGCAAACCCCGGGCCCCCGAGATGCGGAATGTGCGAACTTAACCACCGGGCTGGCCCCATAGTTGTGTATTTTTAGTTGTGGATCCTTCTAGTTGTGGCATATGGGATGCTGCCCCAGCATAGCTTGATGAGCGGTGCCATGTCTTTGCCCAGGATCCGGACCCGTGAAACCCCAGGCCGCCGAGGCGGAGTATGTGAACTTAACCACTCGGCCACGGGGCCAGCCCCCTAAAAGCAGATCTTTTGAGAAATAATTCACATACTACAATGTATTTCAGCTATTTTAAAGTAAACAGTTTAATGGTTATTGTATATTCACTGAGTTATTAAACCATACACAATTCTATTTTTTTTTTTTGGTCAGAAGATTGGCCCTGAGCTAATATCTGTGCCAATCTTCCTCTATTTTCTATGTGGGATGCTCCCACAGTATGGCTTGATGAGCGGTGTGTAGGTCTGTGCCTGGGACACAAACTAGCAAACCCCGGGCCACCAGAGCAGAGCACGCAGACTTAACCACTATGCCACCGGGCCAGCCCTGTCTGCAATTCTTTTAACATACAAACTGTACTAAAAATTAATACAATAAAGAGTGTGAATCCTGTACACATTTTATCCACTAGAAGTATCTACAGTAAACTCCTTTATACATGTGAAGATGCATCCCACGTGTTGGAGTAAGAGATGGTAGTGTATGGTTAGCTTCAGCTCTGGAACCCTCTTTAAGGTATGAGATAAACCCTATTAAGATATCTTCTTTAAGGATCATGAATGAATGCAGATACTGCTGCTTAGCAAATACAACACATAGGCAGGCAGGCAGGCAGGCCAGAAGGGTGAGGAGATGGGACCTGGGGGAAACAGGACCTGTCTGTATTGGTTGGGTGCCTCTACTCATGAGTCTGGATGTCCCGGGGGCACTATTTTTGTAGTTTTGCTAGGTTGAGGGGAAGGATATGTCTTGATTAGCACACGTGCAAACAGTTTGAGAATGAATGTAGGTTGCTGGCAGTGTTTGCATCAAGGCTGGAGTCGCACTGTCTGTAGACATCTGTGTTGACCTCGCTCAGCTCTGCCCTCTCTTGAGAACGTGCTTAACTACCCATCGGTGTGACTGTTAAACTGATGTTAGTATAGTTGGTGAGAAGTTACAATTCAATCTTCCCCCTCCCCAAAAGGAACCCATATCTTACGTTGTTACTAATTGCTTAAATAAATTTCATAAATAAATAAACAGAGTGATCTGAGTAGGACAGAGTGGTGAAGAAGAAGCAAAACCGCTGGTATTTGAGGGACGGGAGTTAGTCATCCCTGATGTTTACATGCAGACTGATTCCTGCGCCAAAAGCAGAGAGCTCCGTAAGCCCATGACTGTTTTTGGTCTACGTTATTTTTGGAAGGAGGTTTGGGCATGGAGTGTTACTGTGATGTGAAGGCTACCAGAGAAGGTTCTCGTTCTCAGAAGTGTTGAGGTGCAGTCTTCAGCAGCTGCAGGTTGGTGTCTTGGAGCAGCTCACTCGTCCATTGTAGGTGTACATTTGCAAGTTGCCTTCTATCTTTGAGTTCATGACAGCCCATCAACAGTTCACCACGTTCCCAGTGTGGACCCTTGTGCACGGTGTGTTTCTGCTCATGAGAATTATTCTGGGTCTTTAACTTCTCAGAGCCATATTTACCTCAAAGACATCTTCTAGGGACGGCTACCAGACTCACAACAACTTCCATTGACTCTCTTGGTTTAATCTTGTTACAGAAGGCTTTCTCCCACCTGGTTACAGCTTCCAAGAGTCCCATAAATGACATGGTCTTCCCGTTTGTAGCTGGAGAGTACTTGTGCAGGTTTATTTATACATGTGAGTGTTGGTATTGGGGGCTTCCCCAAGTGGATGAACAGCCCTTGTTATGTTGAAAGGAATTTCAGCAACTCTGAAAAAGCTCTAAAACCTGATGACTGTCATGGCCCCGCTGTGGGGAGGTGGTATGAAAGAAGAACAGAATCATAGTGAATGGGTAGAGGCTGGAGATCAATCATAAATGCGGTTAGATGAAATCCTGTAGGTTGGATTTTGCTGCATTGCCGTATTCATTATCAGCGTATTAAATTGAATAGCAGCAACAGTACAGCTTTCTGTTTGTCCAGTGACTTAGGAAATTGTGGCCGTTGCCTGTTGTACTCCAACTGATTAAAGTGAAGATTGTTACAATGGGATAAATTTTTAAAGTGAGGCTAAACCATTTTCAGTATTCTTCTATAAAACAGTAATACTGGTCTGCCTAAGTCAGTTTTTTTCCTAGAAGCTTCTGATAAATAATTGTAGCAAAAGCAAAAAGTGGGATGATGAGAACTGACGCTGGGATTGGGGGAGCATGGGGTGTGTTTATTGCTTTCGTTTAGTTGTTTAGTGATTTTTAAAATTATTAAACCATCATGGAAACTTTTCCATGTTAAATATAGACATAAACCATATTTCTTATGACCCTATAGTATTCTATCATAACAGGTACTATTATTTAACTAATTTCTTAATGACGGACATTTAGATTAGTTCTGGGTTTTTTGGTTTTTTTTTTTTGATATTAACAAAATCCTGTTCTGATGTGGGGAGGCTGTGCTGACTGCCCCAGCTCGTAGAGTCAGGAGCACGTCTTCCCCCCTTGCAGTAGATCAGGGACTCCCCTTCGCCTGCCACTGGGGTAGTAGAAGGACTGACTGCTCCGTGCCCGGGGACTGAGTCTGAGGCCGAGGGGTCCTGAAGGACCAGGCCATGACGATGAAGCTGGGGAGTGGGTCCATGTGGACTGACCACTGGTTCAAAGCCCTAAGACCTTTCTCAGGCCAGATTCCTTTCTTATTTGTACTCTTTTTTTTTTAACCTGGGAGGTGAGCCTGCCCGCTTCCTTTCCCCTGCCCCTGCTTACTGCTTCTGTCCCTGAGCTAACCACACATCTCTCCCTCTGTTGGTTTCTGCCCACTTAGACCATCTATGGAGGGCACTGGTGATGCATAAGAATCACTTGGGATGCTTGTTTAATGCAAATTACTGAGTTCCTCCTTGGACCTACCAAATCAGAATCTCTGGGTAATAATCCAGTGATATATATATATACATCTTTAGCTTTTCTTTTTTTTTTTTGAAGATTTTATTTTTCCCTTTTCTCCCCAAAAGCTCCCTGGTACATAGTTGTACACTTCTAGTTATGGGCCCTTCCAGCTGTGGCATGTGGGATGCCACCTCAGCGTGGCCTGACGAGTGGTGCCTTGTCCGCGCCCAGGATCCGAACCTGTGAAACCCTGGGCTGCCAAAGCAGAGCAAGCAAACCTAACCACTCAGCCACGGGGCTGGCCCCCAGTTTGTAGCTTTTTATTATGGAAGTTACACACGTATCCAAACACAGAGAAAATAATACCATTAGCCCTCACGTACCATTGCCCAGCTATATAATGATCATCAATTCATGAGCCAATCTGTGTCATCTACCCAACCTGATCATGTAGCCCCACTCCCATCTACCCCTGATTATTTGGAAACAAATCCCAGATACTGTTTTTTTTCTATAAATACTTCACGTATTTCTACAAGATAAGGATTCTGTTTCTAAACAGCTATGTGTATTTTCCCCCCAGCTTTTTATTTTTGAAGTTTCAGGCCTAGAGAAACAAATGCCATGGCGAACGCCTCTGTCCCTGTTACCGAGGGTCTCCAGTTTTGCCTCGTCTATCCACCTCACTATGTGTGTGTGTGTCTTCCCTATTTTTTTTTGTTGTTAAACCATTTGGAAGTAAGTTGGGATATCGTGATAGTTCACCTCTAAATATTTCAGCTTTTCCTAAGAGTGAAGATATTGTCCTATATAACTATGATCCAGTAATCACATTTTGGACAGTTTCCCTAAATGTCCAAAAACTGTCCTTTATAGCTTCATTTTAAAAAGAATAATACATTATATTTGATCTAGAACAGTTCCTCAGTCTTTTTTTTTTTTTCCAAATCTTTTACAACAATGGTAATTTTTAAGAGTCTAGGCTATTTGTTTAACAAAATATCCCTGAATTTGAGCTTGTCTTATGGTTTTATCATGATTAGATTCAGATGACATTATTTTGGCAGAAAGACTATGTAGGTGATGTGTTCTCCTTATGACATCACTTATGTCAGCTTGTCCATTGCTGGTGATGTTAAATGGTCACCTGGTTAAGGTACTATCCTCCAGAGTTTCCCATTGCAATGGCACCTGTTCCCCTTTGTACTTAACCCTCCGTTGGTGGATCTTACCTGAATCAGTTGTGACAGCGGTGGTTTGTCTTAGAGCTCAATGTCTTTAGGTACGCAAAGGGGTAAAGTAAGATTCATTGGTACGTTAGGAGAACACCTAGTCTTAGTTTCCTGAGCATTTTGTTGTTAGAACCGATGTGGGCAGAAATAGGGAAGGAAGAGGCTAGGAATATTGTGCATGTGAAACCAGAGGTGACGGAGGGGAGCTGTGTGTGCTCGAGGTCATGGAGGGGGAATCCGCTTCCAGTTCTCCGTCTTCTGTTGCTGCAGCCCTGCAGTGGCAGTGTCAGGGCTTGAGGTCGGCGAAGAGTGGGGAAGGTCCCAGGCATCACGGCTGAAACACAGTGCCGAGCTCTAGAGGCTGCTCGCCTGCAGCTGTAACGCCCAGTTGGCCCTTGAAGATGAGAGATGTACATCAGCTCATGTACATTAGAGCTGCTCCTGTCTACACCTCACTGTGTAACTGTCATAATAATCTGCAGCGAGCATCGTTCTTACCTTGAATCGTGATCAGATTTGCTTCTGACAAAGCCTCTCTTTTCCAGTGGGTGAATTTGTAAGTGATGTTCTGCTAGTTCCAGAAAAGTGCCAGTTTTTCCACAAAGAGCGGATGGAGGTGTGTGAGAATCACCAGCATTGGCACGCTGTAGTCAAAGAGGTAAAAGCATGCATGCAAAAAGTCAAGTGTTTTTTCTCTTAGAAGAGAAAATAGAATTTTTCTCCAAGGCTTACCATCATTTTAAATCAGTTTTCTGTATTTTCCCTTTATCCTCTTGAAAGTTTACGATTACTTGTATCTTCTCAATTAAAAATATTTGGGAGAACAGTAGGTATTTTGTAGGAAAGTACAGTGTTGACAGTTCAGCCTCTAAAGTTAAGGATATTAAAAAGGTTGTTAAGCAAGGATGCTGTCAGCAGGACTCCCAGGAAGGCTGTGCTAAACCCCAAAGCCTGTGTGGAAATAGCCAAGTATAGAAAACATGGATCAGATGCCGTTTCAGTCTTGTAGTGGAGAGAAACCCTTTCTTAGGCTTGTCTTCTGTAGGTGAGTTGGTTCTCCAGTCAGTTGTCTGTCTTGGTCACATTCTGCATCGGCACCCTCTTCAGTGAGGAATGTAAATGATCGTTGACTACCTTTAACTGCTGTTGATAATTACTAGAAGAAAGTCTGTTTTCCTTAGTTCTCTTCCAGCTTTGGGCTTTCAGCATTTTTGGCTTAGATTCCTGTAAGTCTTGTTAAAATAATATCGTCACAGCTTTTTGACAAAATTTATGAGTCCATGAGAGAAAGCATTCCAACGTGGTTTGATAAGGATTTCTTTTGGATAAAGCTAGGGGTTGGGAGTACTTGACCAGGTTTACTGTGGAGTATGTTCTGATATTGGTGTACACGTTTCTTTTAGGCCTGTCTGACTCAGGGAATGACCTTATATAGCTACGGCATGCTGCTGCCCTGTGGGGTAGACCAGTTCCACGGCACTGAATATGTGTGCTGCCCTCAGACAAAGATCATTGAATCTACTGTGTCAAAAGAAGACGAGGAAGATGAGGAGGAGGAGGAGGGGGAGGATGAAGAGGAAGACTATGATATTTATAAAAGGTAAACTCTTGTCCTGAGCCTGTGAAATCGTTTTGCTGGTGGCTTGGATTGCTCATCCCTTACTTGTGGGTAGAGTGGGCATGCCCTTGTCACGCTGGAGGTGAGCCAGCTTGCATTCCATTCTAGCCGTAGTTGACCCCAGGAGGACCAGTGGCTTTCAGCTTTGTGTCGCCCAGCCACGCTGCTTGCTGCAGGTCAGTGCTGCCCCGGCTCGCTAACTCTTGCCTTTTGCTGCTGTAGCTGGGCTGAGGGCTTTAATGGTGCAGTTCAGTGCGAGTTGAGCTTATTTCCTGTCTCTGTTTTTGTGTTTCAAAATAGGGAAGAGAATCATTGTTGTGCTTTGTGTATTGGAATTGGTGTTAACCTTCCTTTTTTATTGTGACCTTTAGTGAATTTCCTACCGAAGCAGATTTGGAAGACTTCACAGAGGCAGCTGTGGATGTGGATGACGAGGATGAGGAAGAAGGGGAGGAAGTGGTGGAAGATCGTGATTACTACTACGACACCTTTAAAGGAGATGACTACAACGAGGAGAACCCAACTGAACCCAGCAGTGATGGGACTATTTCAGAAAAGGAAATTACTCACGATGTTAAAGGTAATGCAATGTCGAGCCGTGGCGTTAAAATCCGTATGGTAATCACTTACTTAGAATTTGGGGCTGCATTCATCACAGGTAAGTCACAGAGGAGAGGTGGTGCTTCTGTGTGCTGAAGGTGAAGGCAGCCCTCCAGTGTGCTGTGTGCTGGTGGCGCCATCATAGAAGTGGGCACCCAGGCCACTGCAGGGCTGGCAGTTGACACGTCCGGGAGGAGATGCAAAACTGAATCGCAGAACTGTCCTTTGCATTGTAAGGACTTAACTGGAGACAAGGGAGACAGCATGATCTACCGTTGGGCAGAGTTCCTCGACATTCAGCCTGGGGTGTTTTCTCTCCAGGGGGAGCCCCCCTCCTCAGTACTCCAAAGCCCCAACCTTCTAGGGTGGAAATAACTTTCTGGTTCTTCTCTTCCTGAGTATATGCCAATCTGTAGGCTGCCGTTTGCCCGCTAGAAAGATACTTGTAACTGGGAGGGTGGAATTTAATGACTTTCTACTGGTGAGGCATTAGGGCCAGCAGTTTTTTTTATCTTGCCAATTTTTTTAAAAAGTCAACAGTTTCAGAGCCATTTACTCACAGCCTCCTGCTGATTGTATATTTGAAGCCAGGTGACATCTGAAGAATTATTTAGGACCGACTGAGGGGAGTTACTTTGCGAGTCTAGACGTTTTTGATTCATCTTGGAGAACGTAAAAGTGTGCGCTTGTCCTTTCCAGGTGCTTACCTGGTGTTTTCTGTGGTTATCACCATGGAAACGGCCTTTTCCCCTGTGTCGTCTCCTTTGGTCCTTGACACCACCAGGATAGACAAGTCAGGCCAATATGTCCACCTAGCAGGCCAGGAATGTGAGGCCCGCGGAGCTGCGAGATAAGGCATTCCTCTGTGTCAGTCTGTACATCAGTCTAGACTCAAGGCAGTGCAAATAATATTTTAGTTCCTAAACATCTTTATTATATCAGAATGGAAAACGCCTGCATCCTCAGAAATGGCTGGCTCGAGTGGTGAGTTAGTTCACCAGGGCATTGAGGTTCTGTCCAGTCTTGGCCTTGGCTGAGGTTAAGTACGTCACCTGGTCCCTTCTCCTCGCCCGTCCCACCCCTTGCTGGTGTGTAGTGTTGTGAAGCCTTTGCAGCTGCTGCCTCTGTCCTGCTGACGTTCTGACCATTTTCACACAGCTGTCTGCTCCCAGGAGGCGATGACGGGGCCCTGCCGGGCCGTGATGCCTCGTTGGTACTTCGACCTCTCCAAGGGAAAGTGCGTGCGCTTTATATATGGCGGCTGCGGAGGCAACAGGAACAATTTTGAGTCTGAGGATTATTGTATGGCTGTGTGTAAAACGATGAGTAAGTCCCGCCGCGCTGGCTCTTTGCAGCAGCACCGTCCTGTCCAGCGTTCTGTCTCTTTCCGGGCCGTCCTCGTGACTGCATCTGTGTGGTGCTCCCTGCCAACTCAGGTGTTTGCTGTTGGTCGTTTCCCTCATCTTTGTGCTTTCTAGATCTAGGCTGTGCTTTCCTGTTGGCAGTTGTAAGCTCAGTTTCCATGTCTGTGCTCATGTGGGTCTGGTGGTGGGTGGTGTGTTCCCTCCCTGGCACAGCGGGAGAGCCCGGGGGCTTGTTCTCTCCTGCCTTGCAGTCCGAGGCCCCCAGAGGCTTCTGTGTTGGCTGGGAAGGCAGCCTCGCCCTCAGCTCTCTGGTGGAGAGGCACAGGGTGGGTAAGCAGATTGGCTGAGTTCTGCACGTGCTCGTTTCTGGGCTTTGCCTCTCGTTCTTGTTTCTGAGCCACCCCGTCACCGGCCCCTGTGATGCATGGTGACTGAAGGGCTGCCCACTCTCCAAGAAGTGGCAATAGGGATACTTTGGGGAGACCAGAACAGTGAAATACCATGCTTGGTGCACTCTAGGGAGAGAGCTCTGCAGCCAAGTGGTAGTAACTCTTTTTCTCCAATATGCTGACAACACTGGACCATGTAGAACTTTAGAAAGTGAAGGAATTTTAGTTTATGTATTCTTTGATCACGAAGGAAATTCTGTGGTTCAGTTGAGTTGGGTTTACTTAGACATTGGTAGGAAAAGTTTTGCTTTTCTCTGTGGTTACCCTTTTGCCTTTTTAAGAGCCTTTTTCGCTTGCCTTGTAGTACTAACCCATGTGTTTGGAGAACCCGGAGGCCAGGCAGTGTTCTTGGTTCTGATTCTGTAAGTCACGAGAGGAAGGATTTGCTGCCTGCCCCTGGTGCTTGCTCTAAAGATATTTGGCTGAAGCTTCTGATGGTTTTTTCATTCAAATACTTGCTTGTCTGTCTTTCCTTGCTCCACCAAAAGATTTTCTAAATCTAAATATGATATAGTGTGTACTTTTCGTGCTTCCACTCCAGCTGCTGCTCTGTGGAAAGGCTGTTTTTATTTGAAATGATTGAAAAGGTGAAAAAAAATATGAGTCCTTAGGGAACTTTACAGGCAGAAACTTTTTTATTCAGGAAAGATGTAGATAGAGAAATTCTTGTGGTATTTCCTGCTTTGTGAAACTGCTTAAACTAAGGGACAACAAAACATTGTTTCAGCTTGAAGCTTGAGGAATCAGGGGTTGTTAAAAGATCTCACTTAACATGCAGGCGTCCTCCTAGACCTGAAGGTTCAGGCCGGTAGTGCTGTGGGACCGTGGAGTGACAGCTCTTGAGAGCATTGGTGGTGCGAGGGCTGCAGAACGGTCGATCCCTGTGATTTGCGGTGGGGAGACCTGCCCGGGAGAGGCAGCCTGCTCACGTGCTTGTGGCCTGGAGCACTTTGACGGCCTGGAAACATCACTGTTCCAGTGGTCAAGTTTGTGCCCCTCCTTAAAAGGGATGGAGGTGGACGAATATGCTGGCTTCGTGAGCTGATCATTTTCACATGGTCTGAAGGACGTGGTCCTGGCTCGGAGCCCAGCGGGTCTTCAGCACCATCCGCCTGGTCTGCTGCTGCGTTCCCCTTTTGTTCCCAGCGGCGGAGGCAGCTTGTGTTTTGTATTATCTTGATCCAGCTCAGTGATATGAACCATAGACTCCGTCTGCAACACATAAGCCTTTAAGCTGCAGGCGCGCAGTGCTGATGGCGACGTGCTTGTTGTCACGGATGGACTTCAGTGCCTTAAGTTCCCCCAGCTGAACCTTTGAGTGGCACGGGGAACATGGCTTGTGAAGCCGTGTATTCTATATAGCTAAGCTGAAATCAGCTGTTGAGATCCTATTTAAACTTGTGTAGGAGCCAAATATTCTTAGCAAAAATAGTTGTAGCTTTTAGGTTTAAAGCTGAATAAGAGGAGGTAAATAAATAAAAAGATGCTCTGACAGAAGAACTTTGGAGTAGCTGAGTAATCTGTAGTTAGATTCATCAGTTACATGGTTGTTTGAATGTTGTATTAAAGTTATGCAATTCTGGAAGTTAGATGAATCTGTTTCTGAATTTAAAATTGGTTGAATTTTGGCATTTGCTCTCCACTTAGCTCTGACAGTATGTCAGGATAGCAAGTTGTGCAAGCAGGGTACCTGTCGTTCTTCCCTAGCTTGGGAAGTCACGACTGCGCTGGGCTAATAAGTTTCCATGAGTGTTTCCTAAGAGGCTGACTAAACTTGTCACCTCAGTCCTTCCGTGAATGAGGCTACGCTCCACTGTGCAGATACTCACCTGCCTGGGGCCACCAAGAGCTGATTACGCTTGACTGGCAGCAAGCAGCGTTTGCCCTCATGCATCTGTTCTCTGGGTGTTGGCCTGCTAGGGCCAGTGAGTGTCGGGGATTGAACAGCCC